TTATAGTTTTGTTTTATATTTTTTACGTCTTCTGTTATTTTAATGCACTTCGCTCAGCTACCCCGTGCATAATGTTAACGCACGGGGCCCTACGTTTTAGCGCGCCGCAGGCCAAGGTAGACGCACATTTAGCTCAGCTTCACACGGTTTTAACGTGCGTCTACCTTGTTAAGCATAAATCCGTACGCAAGAATCAATCCATACGACATGTGGACACGTGCGAAAAAGTACACCCCAGTTAGTGTGCGATGGTTGATGTCAGTTCTGTGCATTCTCGAGCTGTTACTCACCCTCGTCGTCTTCCACCAGGTTTTCCCGCACATTGCCGCCGCCGGCGCCTCCAAGCGGCGGCACGCCTTTGGGGGCGGAGGTGGGCGGCATGACCACCGGGCCCACCCACTGCTTGGGCCACGTCGAGTTGGTGGCCGCGAAGCTGGTGGTGGGCGGCCCGGTGGTGGGCGGCTCCGTCGGCGGCGGCGGCGCCGTCGTGCTCGGATCCACGCAGATCGGCGGCGTCGGCGACGCGGTGGACGTCGTCGAGGTTGTGGAGCGGCGGCGGCCGCCGGGGGCACGAGTCGCGGGCACGGCCTCCACCAGCACCATCAGCGTCTGCACCAGCAGCACCAGGAGCAGCGACCACTCGCATGGCTGCAGCCTCAGCAGCATTCCGGGACATCCTGCAAGCACCAAGAGCCACGTCACAGGAAGCAGTACAGCGTTGCCTCGTCGCGCTTTGCCCGCTCAAGCGCCGGATCGCGGGCGCGGTTCCGTTTCCGTTTTTCAATCGTCGTGGCGCTGTGGGGACGGGGTCGCATCCCCAGCGGCGCCCCCGGCACCTTGCGCACACAGCGCCACAGCGGCTTGTCTTTGCGCGCGCGGGAAGTAAATTTGCAGAGGGCGCGGCGCGGCCCAGCAGGGGCGGGCGGCCTGGAACCATTACCGTGTTTATCGTTCAGAGAGACATGGCGCCTCACGGTCCGCCGCCCCGGGCCCGGGACCTGGGGGGCGATCTGTACACAACCACTAGGCGGTAAAGCATCGACACTAAAAAAAATCAGTGCGAAATTTTGTAACATTGATGGGAAGTTTTTTCAGTAACAAGATTACAAAATTTTGTAACATACGAGGTTACAAATTTTTGTAACTACGGAGTACAAGTATTTGTTTCCTGGTTATAAAATTTTGTAACATAAGATGTTACAAATTTTCGTAACGTCGCATTACAAATATTTATTTTCTGATTACAAAATTTTGTAACATTTTGTGCTGTTGTGTGCAGAAGTTGCCGACACCCAAAAATTAGTAGTATTTTCTCATTGCCCTTCCGGAAGGGTCATATCAGTTTGCCAATGCCTCTTCATCAGAAGTGCATAGTGAATTGCCCATTCGAGTATTGTAAAAGTCAGTTTTGGCCAAATTTCTTTGCTTCATGTTGCCTTTTCCTCGGAGCAATGAATGTTCCGAGGGGGACGGACTCCATCAGTCAAGTGCAAGTGCAAGTCACTGATTCAAAAATTAAGTAGCGGGCGAAAAACGCTACAATCGAATGTGGAAAACGTTGCCATACCCAACCGAGGAGAGTTGGCAGGTACCCTGCGCGCGTTGATATTAAACCAATTATATCTGACGCATGGTTGACTTTTTCAACAAAAACTTTTATATTCACTGAAGGTCATTGTCTTATAGAGCATACAGCGTAAAATTAAATGTTAGTTTCGTGTCGATATTTGAGTTTTATGCAAAGAAATGGTTATTGTTAGAGACGCTCTGACCGTTACGCCATCTAGCGGCAGTTACTAGCGACACACAAAATCTTAAAATCTCTCGAGTCGAAGAGATTTGCCTTCTGGAGGCAGCAAAGGCAGCCCTTCTCTGCTCTCACACTAAGTTTACATGAGAGTGTACAAGTTTTTTTTTTTTTTTTGGATGGCTGCAACAGCACATTT